TGAACGCGCCTTCTCCAGACATGCGCGGCTTTGGTGATGTTGCGGATGAAGGAGGGCTAGTCGGCTGTGTGGTAGAAGCCGGCTCGACAATTGCAAGCTTTTGCAGGCGGTCCCGCAGGTTGGTGGCGCTTCTGGAGTAGTTACGGTTCAAAGAGGGGAGATCAGGAGTGCCAGCACGCTGGCGGCTCAGACTCTCCAGGCGGTTCAAGGTCGAGCTCTGCTGGCTCTGAGCAGCCTGGGTCAATCCTTGTCCGTAGAGGCGACGGTTCCGGATTGAACCATTGCGCGGGGCAGACATGGGGGCAGGACCGGGTCGAGGGGCCTCGGGAAGAGTTTCGGGGAACGGATAACCAGTCACTGGAGATTGGGATGTGTTCAACGGTGACTCGTCGGCCGAGGTCGCTGCAGTTGATGTTGGAAGTGTTGACAGGGGCCCAGATGCGGTGGAGGAGTATGTGGCTCGGCTGTTAGATGAGGCAGTTGAGGCGGCATATCCAGATTCCCGGGCGGCCTCCGCCGTTCTCTCTTCCTTCTCCTTGAGGCGCAACCGTTGGAAAGCGGATAGGTTCATGTCGTGGTCATAAACCACCTTTCCCATTCCCCGGCGACTAGCCTCTGATGCATCGGGGGTTGTTGTCCCTGGCGATCTGACCGGGATCTTGTAAATTTTTTGGCGACCTCCGAACAGATTATTGCCCTCAGCGCGACGGGCTCTGCTCATCATACTACCCGCCTGGGATCGGTCATCGTCTGTCCCATACCCATCCCCACCGGAAGCGAAAGAAGCGGTGCGGTCAAGTGAAAAAGAGGGTCGGCTTCCGTCATTGGAGCCAACTTCGTCGATGTCTGCCAGCATGGCGGGGCTGTGACCAAACAAATTGAGTCGCGAAGCGCGCTTGGGAAATAAAACGCTATCGTCACTGGCCTTGCCTAGCATTGATAGTGGGTCGTCCTGTTCCTTCAGCATGCTAAATCGAGCGGACAACTTAGGCATTAGCAGACTGGTGCGGAAGTTGTCTGTCGGGGGTAATGCGGCTGATAGATCGAAATCTGGTTTGGGTTCCGGTGCCGCTTTCTTCTTCGACGGCTTCAAACTGAATCCTGGCGATGTCGCTTCTTGATCCTCCGCGGGCTCCTTCGCCTTCTTGTGTTTGCGGAATCGATTCATCATGGGTGGTAGGCTGAAGGCGCTCAGGGGCCGCCTCCTAATAGGAAAGGAATGAATGCGATTCGGTAATATTGAAGATTGGTTTGAACGAATGTCGATAAATCCAGCGAGTGTGTAGTAAGTAGTAGCTTAATGGTCGATTGATCAGTGTCTCGGTTTGGCTCAATGCCTTCAAAGTGACTCAATGGATATCCTTATCCAGAGAATGAAATGAGCGGCATGACCTTCAAGTGCAACGACGAGTGCAGATTGAGGTTAGGGAGAGAAATGTCTCCTGAAGAGAACAGGCGCAAGGAATGCCAAGTTCACGCCGTGTACCGTGAATGGTCGATACAAGACCAATCAAAGTATTTAGCGGGGATTGACAGATCACAGCATGAGAGAAATAGGAAGCAATATGCAGAGTTGGTCGAGAAGGAAATAGGTCGAAAAAGAGTGACTGGGGAAATTGACGCGAAGAATGCGATGAGAGGGGAGATTTGGAATGGATCCAGAACTGTAACTCCCCAGGGCTCTCTCTCTTAGCGGCATACCATATTACCAAGAGAAAAAAAAAAGTAAAAGGGATCTAGATGATCGTCCCAAATTGGTGTCCACCAGTCGATCAATATTACTGTTCAATGATGTTCTTGCTCTTATTCTGATTATGTTTTTTTTAATATATTATCTTCAGGGTTAAATTATCTTGTATGTACAAATGTACAATCTATGTTCTGTTTATTTACTGTTTCAGTCTCTTTTGTATACTGCGTCCAAGAGGCCCCAAGGGGCTTCCCGAGGATGCATCCATGGTCCGATGCAGGTATGGTATGGTACAGCTACTTAGGCCAACAGTTCAGACACCCCATATAGGGCAAGTAGCAATCTGGCAAAATTACTGTAATGTATTTCACCCCCTTGCGTAAAATATAAATAAAATGTTAAGGATCACATCCCCTCTCTTCCCTCTCTTCCCATCTCTTCTTCGCTTCCGGAATGTGGAACCTGGGGCTGAACGCCACTAACGACTGCGGGATAGGTCGATGTGGCCATTCCTTTCGAAACATGCAATTTGTTGATGATGTATGTACTCCGAATGTGCTGTGGTTTTTTTTTTCTATGACATCGGGGACTCCGTAATGAAGGCAAAGAAAAACACTTATTCGCTAAGGAGTCCCGGGGGCCTGGACACGGGAAACACCAAGATCGTCGCCCCATTACTTCATTCCACCGTTCGGGGCAGGGTTTTGATGTGGAAGGTGGTCACGGTGGTTCATCCGTCCAATCTCTTAGATCAGGTTCGAGAAGTACGGAGTACTAGGTTTAAGTCACACACACTATAACCCATTAAACTCCTTGCTTCGCAGGAAGCCGGCAGCAAGGGAAATTCATTGGTTGCAATCCTCGACTTAGGCTAATCAGACATGCGATACATACTCTGTACTACAATATGCAATAAAATTAGAAGATGTGTGGGAGATTCGTCGCGATCATAATCTACAACATGTCCATAGAGCATTATATTGAAACTATGGCTTGGTTTGAGAAAGGGACAATGGCGTGTACATCGTAGGACAACTCAGCCACAATCTAAGGTACTAAGTGTGATGCAATAATAACATAAGAATAGGCCAAGACCTGAAATTCATGAATGTTCCGACTCTGCAGGAGCTCTTGCAGCGTGCAGGACAATGGTGCCACTCGACTCTGCATCTGATGAGGCTATGTATGTTGGACTTCCGACTTCCTACTTCGTATTGGTTTGTGGATCCCGAGGTTTGCAGAGACAAGCTGAACCATGGTAGATGCCACGATAGAGTCCAGGTAATCTCCACTTTATTCAAGAACAATTTCTTGATAGAGGTCTGTTCATATTGAAAAAGAGTTTCTCCGATCTGTGTGGTGGAACCTATGAGATAATGGAGAACGACCAAACAGCCCCAAAGCCTAGAACGGTAAAAAAAAGGAGCAATCTTCTTTAGCGCGTCTTTAGGTGCGTTTTGACCGGTAGGCTTGACAGCCGTTTGGGAAGGCCCCGCCTACAAGCTTTTCAAACTTCCGAGGCTGACTAGAAAGAGTTAGACATCCATGGATTAATTATTCTTATTACCTAGGTAGCCCTAGAGAGTCCAAAAAAGAAACGGTAAGCCGGTTTTAGTTGGTGTAGTGCCCCTGACTAGTCCTAATACGGATAGTAATTTAACGCTTCGGTCTCTTTTTTTTTGGTTACACATTTGAAGACACACCTTTTAAATCCTTCCAAGTTTTAGGTGTGGACGATAAATACGAGATCTAGAATGTTTTGATTGGATTGATGTCACCAATATAAATCCATGTACAACATACGGAGCATCCAAAGACATCGATAACGTACCGGAACGCATCCGCCAACCGGGTCTCAACCAACGGAGCAATCCGCGGGGCCAATCCTCGTGGCCAATTTCGGTTTCATTTCTTTTTTAAAAAAAAATCAAAATCTCCGACATTGGACGTGTCAACTGGCCTCAAAATTCCTAAATATAAAGTGCCATACACTACCACCGGTAATATAATGTCACCTTGCATTGATGTATACTTCCAGAACGCATAGAAGCTAACGAAAATGAATCTGGTATCTGATATTCGCGATCAGCTCGGAATCCAGGAACCGATCGCGAATATCAATATCCGGAGTAATAGCCGGAGATCCAAGGGGCTTCCACTGATATGGTACATCAAACCGGTGGAAACTCAACAAAAAAAAGGAACGAACATTATAATTGGAGCCCCCTCCTCCCCCCTCCCTTGTCGGTCATGAGGGGTTGCCGAGATCGGGGGCAGCGGGCAGCCCCCGGTCTCTTGACAGTGTTCATGAAGCGCATGGAATTTACCAGGATAAGTCGAATGACCAAGGCGGATGCACTCATTGCCTACGGGATACTCCGTAGTGATTTTTGGTCTTAGATATCGGGGCCATGCACTCTGTATGCTCAACATCTTCGTATCCGCGGAGTAGGTCTGTGCCTGATTGTGGGTTTGAACCGAGTTTGAGGCGCTGTTTTACTCGGCTGAGGGCTATGGTGTACTCCGTACAGATTGGTAGGTGGAGTCGGCAGTTGGGTTTGGTGTCCGTTGAATTCGATCCGTTAATTAGAGAAAACTTTCTTAGCTCGCTAGAACTCTAGTATTAATTTATTTCAGACGGGGCGTTGGGTTCTAGAACACAAATGAGAGGAATTGGGCCTATTGGCTTAGCCCTAGAAACCCCCTCAATGTTATATCCTCGTGTAGGCCCTAATTACTCCGTAAAACCTTGACTACTATGTATTCGGTGGTCCGTACGAAGTACGGAGTGCAATTTTATCAATTGTAGTGAAGTTTCATTGGACCTGGCACCCTTAAGAGATATATCTTTGTCATGGTTGGCCTAGGAAGCCATATATGTACAATAGTTTCCAACATTGGAGAGTCATCTACAAATGATGCTACGACAACTGATAGATAGACCGAAAAGTCGAGAATAGTATCTCATAGTTTTCTCGGGATAGAACTATGCGACATGTACCATTGACAAAAATAAACGAAAAGCTGCACGCTCGCTCAAGTCTCCATCGAACAGGGACCACAATTTCCCATCTCACATTACCACACCAAGTCCAGATGATTCGCGAGAGGGGAGCAGGACAGGAAAACAGAAGAGAAAAGGGAGAAGAATATAGACGACAGGGGAGAAAGGAGGCTCCTTTTCATTCATACATGATCCCACCCAATCTAGAAGGGGCAAGCAAAAACACAAAAAAAAAGGGTCATCTGCTCATAGCGCAATAACTGCAACAAAAAGGTCGAACTATCAAACCAGGATCCTTTCGTCCAGTTACCTACTGGCTTCCCAGCCCACCCAGCTACGGGGCATCACTCGCCAGACCTTGCATTCACCACTACGGAGATCGTTGAGCTTGAAGCTCTCCATCTTGACCTTCTTGCTCTCACGGCCTTGCTCCCAGGCTCGGATCTTCTTCTTTGTGCCATCCCAATCGACCACGATGCCGACGTGGTCAGGCTTTCCAACATCGGCGCTGTACTTCTGGTGCATGGTACCGCGGTGGCCCTGGAATCGGGCATTGCGGAAGCTGACAATGTCGCCGGCGCGGATTTCGTCGTTCTGAGACACAGAGGCATTGGCCAGGTTTGAATAAACCGAGGCACCGTATCCGCGGGTCCCCACGGGAAGTAGCGCGTCAGAAAGAGGGTTGAGCAGGTACTGCACCAGTCCGAACGGAGTGCCGTCTCCAACAGTAGTGTTTTGGACAGAGTTGACGGCTTCCGAGATTCGGGTTCCAAGCTGAATATGAGCCTGCTCGAGCTGGTCCTGGCGAAGCGGGAGTGGCGGGGGTTCATGGCGCTGCTCGAAAGAAGCATCCGCGGGGTTCTTCGAATCGAATTGGACATTCAAGACTGTCTGAGAGTAATCAATGAACAGGATATACACATCCTTCGAGACTGTTGTTTTGCCACTGCGGTTTGTTGATGCAGTCTCCTCGACCTCGAAAAGTAGATCAGTGCGGTTCTGGAAAGCTGGAGGCGGGGTGTTGGGTTGAGTCCACCAGAGGGTATACGTGGCGAAATCAACATCGGTGGCGATGTAGCCTTGGTCAATAGATGGGCGAGAAACATCCATAGACCGACGAAGGTTAGGCTGATTTCTTAGAAGATCCATAGATGCGCGCTGGGTTCGGGCTGCGGACGGGGATGGCAAACCCGAAGCCTGGCTTTGGGGAGGCATAGGCGCCAGTGAAAGACGCTTCTCATTCAAGGCAGACGGTCTTTCCTTTACCGGGCTCTGCACTGGAGGTGCATCATACAGATCGTCATATTCATCGGCCGCTTGTTGTGGTGGAAAAGGAGGAGGAGCCTCTGGGCGACCGAGCGGGAGGGGCGGAGATGTGGGGAGACCATGCCGGGGAGCGGAGTAGTTGAAAGGGTCATACTCAACATCATCATCGCCGGTTGGCTCTCTGTTTGGCGGAGGTGGCGGCGGTCCCCTAGGTGTGTCGATAGAAGTACGGGCATTCCGGGGCGGCTGGCTTGGAGGTGGAGGCGGAACTGCCCTGGGAGCCGTGGGTGGAGGAGGTGGGGGATGCCGGGATTCCTGCGGGCTGCGCGGGGACTGAATGGACTGGTCGTCGGTGATAATACCCTCGTCAAAGCTAGAATCACGCTCGTGAGCTTTCAGAGCATCCTTGTGCTTCACACCCGATGCGATATCAGTGTCGTAGTCTCCATCATATTCAGTCACCTCTCCTTCGGCTTCTTCTCCAGCCTGTCGAGGAGCGGATAACGCACTCGTGCGACTATCAGCGGTAGATCGGCGACGAAGCTGATCGGGAGGCGGGGGAGGGGGAGCGCGGCCCTGCGACGATGGTGGCATGGGCGGATTGACTGGAAGAGGGGGTGGTAGCCGACTAGCTCTCTTTTCAGCTGAAGGGGTCGAAGCCGTAGAGGGCACGGGGTCATATGTTGAGGAACGGCGAGAGTCAATCTGATCAGGTATCGCAGGTGCAAACACAGCCGGTGGAGCAGCCGAGGTATTCAACGACAGACTAGATGTGTGCACCGACAATTCATCATCAGACTCTTCACCCTTGTCGGCAGTTGTGGGCCGTGGTGGAGGAGGAACTGGTCGGCCTGTATATCATTGTTAACGCACAAGTCAAGTAATTTGTTTCAGGATCTGGGTACTTACCTGCAGGAACTGGCGGAGGGGAAGCCGGAGGCTCACCTGGGACAGTCGGGACGGGTCTTGACTCTCGAGGAGGCGGAGGAGGTGCCGAACGATCTGCGACTATCAGAAATTGAAACCATGCATTAGGCTGCTGGAGAATATCTTACCTTGCGATGGGCGAGCCGGGACCGGACGGTCAATAGAGGCACGAGGCAGTGCACCTTCGTGAATGACCTCCTCGACATCTGGCACCTCGCGTGCGGAGTGTTGTTCCGTGATCGGAGTTGCCGAGGGTTCCTCCTCTCCCTTCTCCACTTCAGTAGAAGAAGGTGTCGGCTTGCTAGCCACGTTCATTCCAGGAAGGGGGATCATAGGAACTGGGGGCGCATTGGCAGGGGAAGTGGGCTCAGGCTCGAGCTCTCCAAGTCTCTTCTCTGACTCGCCGGGAGTCTTAGGCTTGCGAGCACTACCGGCGCCAGACATGCCTGGCATACCTCCGGCAGGCGGGCCGAAGAGACCCATCATACCCATTCCGCCGCTCATCTTGGCCATTCGCTCACGCAGTTCCATTCTACGCCTGGTTTCAGGATCCATTTCCTCCTCTTCCTCTGCATCGCCCTCGTCTTCAACATCTGCCTCGGCAGTTTGCTCGACTGCACGAGTCGACGGTTGACGCTGAGAGACTGGACGAGGCTGAGGCTGATCTTCTTCATCCTCCTTACTTGTGGATGTTTCGCCTGCATCCTCGGAGTCTGCAGCAGCGGAGTAGTCGGCGTCATTGGCATCACTCGCGATTTCTTGGGTGGGCGAGAACGGGGTAGGGGGCTGTGGAGGAGGGGCCGCAGCCCTCAATGTATCAACACTAGGATCCCGAGCAGTCGAGGATTCTTCAACAAAGGGAGACTCCTGTTCGTCGTCGAGGACTGCGGGAGCCACAGGTTCATCCATCGACTTCTTAGGAGGGCGGGAAGGTTTTTCTTTCTTCTGAGCTGCTTCTGCATGACGCTGAGCTTGCTCTAATTGCTGCTTCTGGAGCAAAGCAATTCGGTCCTTCAGACTAGTTGGCTTGGGCTGGTCCTCTGCTCCCTCTTCACCGCCTTCAATGGGAGCAGGCCGGCTTTCAGAAACTGGAGGCTCGCGGGCAATTTGTTCCTTCACATCGGGATCCTCCTCTCTTTTGTAGACCTTGGGTGCAGGTTCCCTTGGTGGAGGCTTGTAGGCGTCCCGGCTAGGAGGCGGCGCGACAAAAGGCTTCTTGATGAAGGATGGCTGGGAACCACCCGGTTTGAATGGCGTAACTGGTGCTGCTGCAGGTTTGTTGAAGGCAGCAATGCGATCCCTGAATGACGACCCCGAAGGCTTCTCCGCTACAGCTGGAGGCGCAGGTTTTGAGGATGCCTTGGCTGCGGGTTCAGTTGGGGCCACGGGAGGGGCGGGAGCGGGCGCCTTTGCCGGCTGCGGAGGCGAGGATGCAACTTCTGCTATAGGGGCGCTCGCACGTAAAGGAGGAGACTGTGGCTGAGGTGGCTGCGGGGATACAACCTCATAATCTTCCTCCGTGGGTTGCACCTCTGGCTCAGGCTCGGGCTCAGCCTGCTTACTTTCGACCACGGGGGACTCCACTGGCGCCGGCTCGGGCTCCTTTTTGGGTCTGGGTCGAGATGGCCTCGGAGGGGCCGGAGGCTCATATTTCTCAACGAAGTTTTTCGGGAATATGCCCTCCTGCTTGGCCCCCCGGGCGTCTGAGTATTCACCGTAATACCAATCGTCGTCCTCCAGGGCGGTAACGGTCAGGATTTGACCGATCGGGAAGTTGAGGTCGTCATCGTGGCCCGAAGCATACTCGAAGACCGAGCGGACCGTAAAGGGCGGACCTGACATCTGGCAAGTCGAAACCGATGTTCAAACTTTAAGACAATCGGTGTGGAGTGAGGAATGCTGAACGAGTCTGTGACGCAATGACGCTAGAATATCTGTACAGAGCGAATCGCCAGCTTCAGTGCCTTTAGCATGTAGCGATATTTAAAGCGAAACGAATCAATTCCTTTGTGGTACGAAGGCGTGTCAGCTCAGATGAAAAGGACGTCAAGTGGGTGCCTACGGGGAGATGAGGGGGGAGGGGGGAAACTGCGGAAGCACTTACGGCGTGGAGAACCGAACACCCTAGCCAGGGCCAGCAAAGATTCGATGCAAGATGAAAGAAAAAGAACACGGTCGGAAAGACAAAAAAGTAGTAGGGGAAGAGGATGTAGTGAGGTGGTCGTCACTTGGCGGGATGAGGGAAATGGGCTCCACTGGACGATCGGCGGCTAACACATCAACCAGGGAACACGCACATGGGGGGAAATGCCCGTGTTCGAATATCAAGGGATTTTATATTGATTTTATATATATGTAGCTGTTTAACTTCTTTTCAAGAGAGATATATTAGGTAGCTTGGTACATATGCAGCTAGGTAGCTGGACGGCTACAAGTCGTCCAACTTATACAGGTGAAGAGAAATATTCAACATATGTAGACTGTACCGAGTATATACAATACCTAGTAGTATACAATATGCACGAGCTATGTCCCATACGTAAAACATCCATAACATGTCTTATAAAAACACTGGATGCCCAAAGCCTACGTCAGCAGTGAAGTGTCCCTCCTCCCATTGGAGGTCAATCCGGGGGTTTGCCTCTTCCGCTTTTGAGCCGAATTCTGCTGTTTTTACTTTATTTTTTTTATTTCGTCTCACTTCACAACTCAACCCATTTTAAATTCAAATTACCTTTCAGGGGCCGCAATTCATTCTACATCATGGCACAGCAAGGGCCGAGCCACCCTCTCAAGACCTCTCTTCCCGAGACATATGCCGCCGTCAATGCCCAGCAACCCCCACCTTCATACCTATATCCTACACAAGAAGACCAAGACAAATACCTAGAAGGTAGGCCCGGTGCAACCCAACGGCACCTCGAAGTCGCTCTGGAACACGCGCAGCAGATTCAGACCCAAAAAGACGCCGAAGATGTCATTCTAAACCGCATCCTTGAGCTACTCGAGCTCCCCTCCTCCCCGACAGCAGACCCTGCCTCACCGTCCCAAGAGGATACCACAAAACTCAAATACTCGCTAGCCCCATTCCGCCCCAGCGACTACGACAATCTGATCCTGGAGCGAAACTTCGAAGACTTGTGCGGATACGCTCTATGTCCGCACAAGCATCGCAAGCAAGACACCGGCCCGCGAGGCGGGTTCCAATTTAAATACGGCCCCAAAGGAAGCGGCCCAGGAGGGCGCGGACGCAGTGTGGACATTGTTTCCCAGGACCGCGTCGAAAAGTGGTGCTCAGATGCATGCGCAGAGCGTGCGCTTTGGATCCGGGTGCAGCTATCCGAGAAACCTGTGTGGGAACGACGGGCGGCCGACACGCGGGGCACGACTATTCTACTGCTCGAGGAAGCTCGCGCCAAGCGTGTGAAGGCACCAGCGGCTACTAGCAGTGTCTCTTCCGTTGTGGATGATTTGCAGAGCATGGGACTTGGGAATCGCGATCGTTCCCGGGAGCTTGCGTTGGAACGCGGCGATACCAGCTTGATTCGTCCGGATGGACGTGTTCACGTCGATATCAGAGAGAATCAACGTGGTTCTCAGCCGGTTGCTGCCGCTCCACAGATGCGTCCGGAGTATGCAAATGGCGGTTCCATTGAAGGATACGTGCCCAGGGAGCGACGAGACGTGGATCAAGATGGAGACATAGATTTGCTCGATCAGATCTGATATAGCAAGGTTGCTATGGGGTTTCCAAGGGGCTTTTCGGCGTTCTACTTTTTAATACCCGATCAATTTTGACATTGACACATGAGTAATGAACAATCTACGCAGAGACCATATATATGGCTATAGTCTGGCCAGCAGGACTCATACGCACATAGAACATGTAGGTATGAATCCAGACATGACTCAGACCACCAAAGGTCTCGAGTCTCTTTAGACCGAGGTTACCCCCAGTCCAAGAACTCCTACGTAGTCCAACCGAGAGAGCTAACTCATGGGTAGACACGAAGGGGAAAAAAATTGGCAATCAAGCATCATCTCCTTTCGGAGAATCAGCGACACCTTTCTCAAAGAGAATCATGTTTATTCATTCCTCATCCAGGAATAGCCTTCCACACTAAGCTAAACCATGCTAGCCGAGCGAAAAGCCAGCCAGAACAGACATTTGGGTACCACCAAGGGTCGACCGAAGGCCAGGTATGAACTTTTTTTTTCGTTATTCCGGGCGCTGGATTTAGCGGGGACCGAAACGACGGGGGCGCTCGGCCTGCTGCTGCTGGCTGACGGCAACAACGTTGACCTTGAGGTTGTCGAACTGTAGAAATATATTAGATATATGCCAGGATATTGTAGTGTGCAGTGGAAACTTACGCCCATGGACTTGAGAAGGTCCTTGGTGTCGGCGTCAACGTCGAGCTGACCGGACTCGGTCTGGGAGACGTCGAGAGCGGAGACCTCAGGAACGTACTGATCCTTGCGCTCACGCTCCTCCTCCTGAAGCTTGAAGGAGATACCGCGGACGGGACCACGCTGGATGCGCTTCATCAAGTGGGTAGTGTAACCAGCGATCTAGAACAAATTCCCGAGTCAGAATTGGAGGTCTCGATTTGTTGGTGCCATTGTATAGAATCTCACCTTGTTGCGAAGACGCTTGGAGGCAATGATGGCGATCTCATCACAGATACGCTTGTTGGTCTCGAAGTCGAGGGTCAACTTGGGGTAGTAACGCTCGATGATGACCTTAGCGGAGCGCTTGACTGTCTTGGTACGGACGCGACCCATTTTGGCGGTTGTTGGCTGGCGGAATGAATGTTCGAAAGATCGAGAGTAGTCGTGCCGATTTGGATGAGTTTGAGAGTCGGCTTTCGCTTAGTCCTGTGCGGGTCCTTGCCCTAGGCCCTAATCGATAAATCACGTGATACGAAATTCCTTGTTGGATTATGTAATATTCTACGACATCACGCTTGCCTATTTTAGGAAGGTACCAAACACATCAAAAGTACATCCTCAAGTGTACGATTATCGAACTTATTTGTCTTGTTATTCTCCCTTCGGTGGAGAATGAGCCTTTGCAATGATCGCTGTGAAAATAACTTGATATTGATGCATCGATTTATATGACATAGTCAGAAGAGAAAAATGAAAGTAGCTTTACACAAGCACCAAATCTATCATACATGGTACAATTCCTTGCACATCCACCCACACTTCACTTTTCCCTATGACCTAGAGTTGAGGTTATTGAGAAGGCTGCGTGCAACGTCTTCTGTCCCCCTCGTGGGTTGCCTCCGGGGCCGGTTCTCCGCGGAATGCTGGAACCGAGGCTGGCCGAATGGCTGTCTGTCCAGTCTTGGGACCAACGGGGATGGGGCAGTGGCAACATCGGAGATGGTTAAGGTAGTCGGCTTGTGGTAGTCTTCGATTCCGTAAGGAGCCTTGGCGGTTGCACTTGCGCGATAAGATGAAAGGCCAATACGGCCATCGGAGTCAACCGAAGCCCGGATGGGAGTGACCCAGTATTTACCTCCGCCAGGGATGGATGCATCGAAGAAAGTCAGACCGGGGGTGTGCCTTGCTCCACAAAGGTCATGGCATTCAAATCTTCAACAGCAATACCACCGATACCTGCCAAGGCACGTGCCATGCGTCCCTTAAAGCGGCCCTTAGGGCGCAAGATGCGAGCCTCCACGGGGCGCTGGTGGGCTTGTGGGCCAAACTGGGCATGGTTGTGAATCAGAGCGTGTGATCGTGTGTAGGACAGACCGCCAGATGGGTGTGTCTTCGGGGGGCCTGAGACGGCGTATTCAAACGAGGACAGCTTGCTTCCAGGGGATTGATAGTACTTGCGCCCGATACGCTCGCTGGGAACGGCAGGGGAGGAAGCCAGGTCAAGCAGTTCAAAGACCACAGGACCGAGAGCGAATGGGTCATTACGCAGAGTTTTAATGTAGGTATTGAACTCCGCATCGGTGACAGTTGTGGGATGAGCCTCCAAGTCCTCTCCATTATCCTGCGCCAGTTTCCGAATCTCAGCAGACCGCTTAGCGACAAACTGTTCACGAAGCTTCTGCAGGATCTCAGGCTTATTGCGAGTCACTTGCTTCAAGTACGCTGCGAACTCTGCCTCCGTCTGCCCAGCAAGCCAAGGACCGCTGTGTCTGAACTGTTTAGCACCAGGTTCCTGGAGACCCTGGCTGGTCTCGGTGTTATCAAGGTGCGTTTCGAACGGACTTTGATGCCTTGGTACAACACTGGTAGCGTAATTGACTTTGGAGGGGAGAGACATAGGCATGTGGAGCTCCTGGAACTTCTCGAGGGTCACGGTGTGATCTGCGGCGGATTCGAAGTCGGTGACATGTTCATAGGTATCGAGAGCGTGCACCCTCACGACAGGTCTCGATGATTTCTCCGATGTCGACTTAGCCGGTAAAGGTCGTTTCAATCCCCAATCGCCTCGGGCTAGTGATGATTGCGGTGTAACGATGGAGGCTCGAATGGGGTAAGGCAGAGTTGCGGTGTCGGATTCTCTCGACATTTGGTCATTGCGGCCCTTGAGGGTTTTAGGGAGCGCGAACAAACGCGAATTTCGCAGCAAGTTCGCCGTTGGCGATAGCCTGGCGGAGGCCATCTTGTTCAATGGATTGGCTATGTGATCTTGGAGACGTAGCTGGCGCGAGAAAAGTTGGCCGGAGAACACGGGCCAAAGCGGTACGGTGCGCTACAACGACCCAACCCGCGGTTTTGTATCTATACGATGTACCTAAGACCCTTCGGCAATCTTTGCCACGTAAATTATCTTTATTATAATATGTAAGATGCGGGTGGCGCTTGATGAAATTTATTGCTTAAAATGACTCTGAAATATGTAGTTGTAAAAGAAGAATATTTGATGTGTTCTTCTACAATGTATCCATCAACTCAATCTAGATCTATAAAATGAACAAGGCAACTCCGAGTTTAGACACCAACAGCTAGAAGAGAATCGATGGTGTCTGACACTGTCTGCTTTAGTGGGCGATACTCTAGTCCAAGGATCTTTTGCGACTTATTGTTGTCAATCTCAAAAATGTTTTCTGGGAAGTCGTTGGGAGCATCTGCAGGGGGCAGCTTGGACTCTAACTCGGGGTGGGTCTCGCGAGCAATATCTGCAAGTTTCTTGTTCGAGAAGAAGCCAGCGGTGACAAAGAATCTCTCCCCTCCTGCTTCGGGAACTTCGATGGCTTTGACATGTGCAAGGGCGACATCACGCACATCCACCCACAGGAAATTGCCCGTTGGGGCTATTTTCTCCTTCATTTCACCCTGGATGAGGTTTCTCAGACGCTGGTTTGAGGTGTTAATAGTCTCAAGAGAGTTGAGATAATGAACGACCGGGCCAAAGACCAGTGGTGGATTGATGGTAGCAATATCGAAATTCGGCTTCTCCTTCTCGACGAAGGTCCAGGCTGCTTTCTCCGCAAAGGTCTGATATGGAACTGACTTAGCGCTTGCATTTACTCAGGCTGACCGTCAAATATCACCTACCTTGCTACCACGATAAACTTGTGAGTGGTCCATCGCCTCCTCCCATGTTATCGGATTCCATTCTTTCTCACTGTAGACCTTGGGGTGCTGCTTGCCGTTCACAATAGCAGCGAAAGATGACGTGATTACCACTCGCTTCACGGTAGGGGCGTATTCTTTGATTGCCTTTAGAATGCCGGTCGTTCCCTTGATGGCCGGGTCAAGGAAGTCTTTCACGGGGTCCTGAACGTTAAAATGGAAAGGAGATGCGGTATGAAGAACATAGTCAAAGGGAGGGCTTGATTTGACGGCCTGTTGTATTTCCGTTAGTTGTGTATTTGTTAGGAGAAGAATATTCTACTAACGTCGTCAAATGCACCATCCTTCGCTACATCCTTGACAACCACATAAGAGAGTTTCTCCTTCGACGCGTCGGGGTGAGCCTCAATAATCCGTTTGCCCTTCTCCTCTGATCGGACAGTAACAACTGTGTCAAAACTAGAGTAGATTGTCAACCGATAATATATATGTGATGTTTATGTGGCTAGATCATACCCATGCTGTAGCAGAATGTCGACAATATGGGCGGCGATGAAGCCACTGCCTCCTAAAGCAGATAATTAGATTAGGTTAGAGGGAACATAAAAACCACATACCAGTCAAGAGAACTTTAACCATTGTGAGAGATAATTTATGGAGTTATAGATGTATGAGTTGTTCAATTGGGATAGATAGGCAAAAGAGCGAGGAGGTTGGCTTTTATGGTTCCCCTCGATCCCGTCATCCCCCGCAGTGGCCTATTTCGGTCTGGAAAGCTTGACCAGCGATTACAAATGCAAGACCCCTCGGTGTTTAAAGGAGTTAATGTTGTTCAGATAAATCCGGACTTCCGGAGAAGAGGGCTCTGGCCTAGGGGCATTCAGCCTATCTCCTTACACTTTCATAGAGCCCGCCATGATTCAATCCCAACCTCCCTACCTAGGTACATATATAGGCAGTATGCTCTATGCTCGTACAATATCTATTTATCATTGGCCCAATTCAACCCAATGGGAGTAGCACCTAGGCTGCTTACATTCTCGGTTTTGACGGTGGAAGCATGCTCTACATAGTTCTTGGCAAGTAATGAAATGTTATACCTAAATGGACTATGCAAAAAGAAATACCAAGTGATTTCGGTTATAGTTCGATGCTTCAAACTTGCTTAGCGTTTCTGGATTCAAGTCCTGGGAAATAGTTAACTATATTAGATGCTGGCATCGATGCCCTGTATTGGATATCTTCATGCTAGCTTCCGTTACATTCTCTCGTATTTTACAGGCTGCATCTTCCACTGGACATCCTCAGCAATCCTCCCATATTGTATGCTAGCTACTACAGCTAGCTATACGGCTGTTCATGTTAACCCCATATCTACAAAGCTTTCTAGGATATGCTAGAAGCGTGATATTAAGTGAATTTATTCGCAAATACGAAGCACCAAAAAACTTGTCCTAGAGCGAGGGTGAATTCATCTTAGCAAAAAGACGGGACAAGGCCTTATCACACTTATAGATGCAATCAAACCTGTGTGCTTCAAGCCCCGTGGAAATCCCAATGATGCGAAACAAAAAAGTCGGCCGCTTATACGGCCTTTGGTTTTAACGTTATATTTTTAGGATAAGCACTGCAATGTCTTTTTGGATGTCTTTTTATATGATCGATATGGTGCACGCACAAATGTTAGACTACCGAATTATCACTGCCAACGGATGCTTTGGGTGACGTATTTGGCTTTGAGGATAATATGACTTCTCAGACACACCAGAATTTGAATGACATTCAAAAACCAGGGATTATCTGCAGTATACTGAGCACCAATGTTAAAATAAATATCAAGATAGTATGTAGTGATTACTTATCGAGTGGTTGTACCTAGGTACCTAGGTACCTAGGTACCTAGATGGTCGAGGGTGTCAGGGTCGCACCGAGTCGGGAACTCCAAACTTGGCCCGTGCACCCCTCGACCTTCTCCAAGCCTCACACATGACCCTCCCTCTACCATCCAACTTTATGCGCTCTGCGTGTTTCTATTTTATGGCCTAGACCTTGTATTCCAATGTCCACCCTGGGGTGTGATTCGCAAATATGGCCCAAGCAGGTGCAATCACAGACGTGACCCAAAGGTTATTCGTGGAGCTCAAGTCAAAGAATGAGGAGGCCAGGGCCAGAGCTGCCTACGAGCTCTATGATAATGTCCTATCCGTGTCTAGAGGTATTAACGGCTGAACTCTGAGACCTCTAACTAGCTGACATATCTCCTTCTGCAGATTGGCCAGCGGAGAAGTTCGTGGAATTTTACAACGCCGTTAGCCAACGTATCGCCCAACTCGTGGTCAACGGTAGCGACGCAAACGAAAGAATCGGTGGCTTGTTAGCACTCGATCGGCTCATTGACTTTGACGGAGTCGATGCGGCTCAGAAAACGACGAGATTTGCTAGTTACTTGCGCAGCGCCCTTCGCAGCAATGATAACGTGGTCCTGGTGTATGCGGCCCGATCGCTGGGCCGCCTCGCGAAGCCCGGCGGGGCTCTAACCGCAGAACTGGTAGAAAGCGAAATACAATCTGCATTAGAATGGTTACAATCGGAGCGTCAGGAAAGTCGGCGGTTTGCAGCAGTGCTTGTGATCCGGGAACTGGCCAAGGGCTCACCAACACTCCTCTACGGCTTCGTTCCACAGGTCTTTGAGCTAGTCTGGGTTGCTCTTCGAGACCCGAAAGTCCTCATACGTGAGACTGCGGCCGAGGCAGTCGGCGAATGCTTTGAAATAATCGTGGCTCGTGATTCTCAAGTCCGTCAATCATGGTTTGCACGGATACACGATGAAGCACTTCTGGGCTTGAAGTCCCATAACATTGATTGGATCCATGGCTCCATTTTGATCATCAAAGAGTTGATCTTGAAGGGCACAATGTTCATGAAAGAACACTATCGGAATGCTTGCGAAATCATCCTCCGTCTCAAGGACCATCGTGACCCGAAGATTCGCACCGAAGTCGTCCTCACCATCCCCATTCTCGCCTCCTATGCCCCCACCGATTTCACTGAGATCTATCTACACAAATTCATGGTCTACCTCCAAGCACAACTCAAGAGAGACAAAGAGAGGAACTCCGCGTTCATTGCCATTGGAAAGATTGCCAATGCAGTGGGCACCGCTATCGGCCAATATCTCGATGGCATCATTATCTACATTCGAGAGGGGCTTGCAATGAAGGCAAGGAATCGGTCGGGAGTTAACGAGGCGCCAATGTTTGAGTGCATCAGCATGCTGTCCCTCGCAGTGGGACAGGCGCTCAGCAAATACATGGAGGCTCTTCTGGATCCCATTTTTGCCTGCGGGCTGAGCAAATCATTAACACAGGCTCTGGTCGACATGGCCCATTATATTCCTCCCATCAAACCCATGATCCAGGAAAAGCTTCTTGATATGCTCAGTATCATCCTTTGTGGAACGCCATTCCGGCCCCTCGGATGTCCTGAAAACCGACTACCTCCCATGCCATCATTCGCAAAAGACTTTGCACCCCATGAGCTTCACTCTGATTCTGATATTGCATTAGCACTTCACACATTGGGCAGCTTTGACTTCTCTGGGCACATACTAAACGAGTTCGTGCGTGATGTTGCTATCAACTACGTGGAAAATGATAACCCCGAAATTCGAAAAGCGTCAGCTCTTACATGCTGTCAGCTGTTCGTTCATGATCCAATCATCAACCAAACCAGCGGACACTCCATTCAAGTTGTCAGCGAGGTTATTGACAAGCTCTTGACTGTAGGTATCGGAGACCCTGACCCTGAAATCCGACGCACCGTTTTGTGGTCGTTGGACCGCAAATTTGATCGGCACTTGGCACGACCAGAGAATATTCGATGTTTGTTCTTAGCAGTCAATGATGAGGTTTTTGATGTCAAAGAAGCCGCGATCTGCATTATCGGTCGACTATCCAGCGTTAACCCTGCTTATGTCTTCCCGCCACTGCGAAAACTGCTGGTCAATCTTCTCACTGGCCTTGGCTTCGCGAATACCGCCCGCCAAAAGGAGGAAACAGCTCAACTCATCAGCTTGTTTGTCTCCAA